ATATGCCAGATTAGGACCTACAGGGAGTGAAGCATGATTATAGATTATGTAACGTTAAAACTAATCTGGTGGGGTATTGTTAGCTTTTTAGTAATTGCATTTGCAGTTACTGGCGGCATGGATATCGGTGTAAATATTTTATTAGTGCTAATTGGCAAAACCGAAGATGAACGCCGTCTGATTATAAATTCAGTAGGTCCAACGTGGGAAGGCAATCAGGTATGGCTAGTTACGTTAGGTGCTACGTTATTTGCCGTATGGCCGATTGTATATGCTACGGCTTTCTCGAGTTTATATTTTGCGTTGTTGATAGTTTTATTTATGCTAATTTTGCGCCCGCCAGGAATAGATTATCGCGGCAAAATTGATTCGCCACAATGGCGTGCATTGTGGGACCGTTGTTTATTTACCAGCGGGTTAGTATTAGCTTTGTTGTTTGGGGTTGCAATTGGCAACTTATTTGTTGGCTTGCCGTTTAGTTTTGATAACAACATGGTCGTTACGTATACGGGTAGTTTAGTATCTTTAATTTCTCCTGTGACTTTGTTATTTGGTATTGTCAGTATTTGCATGTTAATAGTTCAGGGCGCAATATTCTTGCAATATAAACTTGAAAACGAATTAGCCGCGCGAGCAAAATTAGCTGTGCAGACTTTTGGTTATAGTTTTATTGCAGTATTTATTTTTACTGGAATTTATATATACCTTTGGTTGCCGGGTTATGAGCTGATTAGTATTGGTAATATTAACACTAGTTTAGCCGTTACTGATAAAGTAGTTATGCCAATAAAAAGCGGTTGGTTGAATAATTATGCGGTAAAACCTACGTTATGGGTATTGCCAATTTGTGCAATTATAAGCACAGTGTTAGCAATGTTGAGTAGCAAAGCAGACAAGCCTAAATTTGGTTTGGCATTTAACAGTGTCGCGATAATGAATACGGTTTTAACCGCAGCAGCTGCGTTGTTTCCGTTTATATTGCCGTCTAGCAGCAATCCAAATCATAGTTTGACTATATGGGACGCCTGTTCGAGTTATAATACGCTGGGTTTTACGTTGTTGGCCGTTTTGTTACTGTTGCCGATAGTGTTGGCTTATACGGTTTGGGTGTATCGAGTAATGCGCGGTAAGGTTAGACTACATGAGGGATCATATTAATGTGGTATTTTACTTGGGTTTTGGGTGTGTCGTTTGCTTGCTGTTGCGGGATAATCAACGTAATGTGGCTAGAGAGTGAGCATATTTTTGATGAATAGCAAATTAGGGTACATAAAAACAATTACGAATTGTTGTGACGTGTAGCAACAATTTGTATGTATTCATATTTTTGTAATATGTGTTTAATTTCAATAGGGCGGCGCGCCGTCGCCGACCTGTTCCCTATGAAATCAACCTTGCTGCTATCTGATTGATTTATAAATATATATTTTGAAAAATATCGATGCTGAGGATTGTTCCAGGCTAGGCAGTTAAAATTGGTTTGCATATCCACCCAAAAACTGAACTTTTTAATAGCTTGTAGGTCTATATTAGTAGTTAATAAACTTACGGTGAATAAAATGGCCTTTATACATAGATCCAACAAGATCATCCCTAGCGTAGATGTACAAAACTCAATCAAACATATGCAGCAGCAAGCTCAAGCGTACCGATTAAAGCAAAAAATCGAGCAAGATATCCAAAAAACTATGCAATTTTTAAAAACCAAAGGACACGCGATTACATTTGAACGTAGATACACTGATGTTCAGCGTCAAGTGGATAAAATGATCGCAGCACGTGACTTTACTTGCCTAGAAGATTTAACCGAGCAAACACGAAAATTAGACTTTAATACACGTGCAGTGAAACGCAAAGTTGACGGCAGAAAAATCCAATGGGTAGATCATGATCAATTTGGGGATAAAAGAGAAATTGCTTGGCAAGTAGCTAAGAAAGTAGCTGTCGATATGCAACAATTGGTAACGGCCATTGATAGCTTCCCTAAAGACAGCCTTAATCATGTTAATTACCATGCTTGGTTGGTTAATTATGATCGACAAGTTAAAGATTGTTGTAAAAATGGCAATTTTAGAAGTTTGCGCCGCTTAAATGTAGATGTTGACACTGTACTTGACTATATGCGCGCACAAGTAGATTTTCATTAAGCATCGGCAATGATTTTTAGCTGACTTAGCAATTGTTCGTGCTGTAAAAGGGTAATTTTGTCGTTAGCCTTTTCCAGCACTTGCTGCAAATCACTGTAACGACTCATAGCCACAGCAACCTTTTGTTCTGCTTCAACCAAAAGTTTATTTTTGTCCTCTAAGGTTTTCTTAGAGCTTTCGTTTTGCTTAACAGATAGTTGATGCTTTTCTTGCAAATCAATTATTTGGGATTGTGTGTTATTAATAATTTGATTTAATTGCTCGATATGTATTTTCTGATCATGGCTGATATTAATCGTAGCCAATAATTGTTGCCTAACCTCGCCAATTTCTTGCTCAAATTGCAATTTTTGTTTTTCTGCTTGTAAATACTGCTCTTGCTGTTGTTGTTGCATCGCGGCTTGATAATGCTCGAGATTGTTTTGCACGTTGATTAATAAGCTGTGCAGTCTAGCATTTTCTTGTTTTTGGTCAGCTAATTGTAACTCAAGATTATGCGCTCGTTCTTGGTTTTTAGAATACTCTAAGCGAGCAGTGGTCAATATTTCATTTAAAGTTTTGCTCGTGTTTTGTTCTTGGTGTAATGCTGTCTCTAGTTGTTGAATCTGTTCTTGCTGTGTCATGCAGCTATTTTCTGCTTTTGTTAAATTGGTTTGTACTTCTTCAATCTGTAGGTCAGCCTGCGCTTGATGCTGTTTTATTGCTTGATCAGCGGTTGTTTGCAGGTTTTCCCACAACCCAGAAACAATGGCAATTATTTCTGTTGGCAAATTATTTTTGACCGCTAGAGCGCCGTTATTAGCCTTCCAGTCTTTTAGATGGCGAGCAATCGTGCTTTTGCTGCCGGTGCCCAGAACTTCGCGCACGCGATCGACTGTGGGATTTTCGTTGAGGCCCTGCAGCTGTACTGCGGCGTTAGCTACATCGTTATATACAATCCCTGTTCTGCTCACTGTTTGGCTCCATTTTTTACTTTTGCTAGATTGTTACATATTACGTATTATGTAATAAAACGTAATATTTATATTTAAAATATTAGATTACATTTAAATTTTATGCAACTATAATCTATATTATCGTTGGTAAAAAATTAAAGTAGGCGAAAAATGGCCCAAGATCTAATCGTAAGCACAGCCGCAAAAATATACATTCAAGCAGCCACCAGCTCAAACACCCGCAAAGCCTATCAGCAAGACATACGGCACTTTATCGCCTGGGGCGGTTTGCTGCCGACAACACCTGATATAATCGTTGCCTATTTAACTAGTTATGCCGATAAACTTAATTCGAGAACGTTAATACGCCGCTTAACAGCCTTAAGACACTGGCATGTGTACCAAAATTTTTTGGATCCAACTTCGCATGCTCTGGTGCGCAAGACTTTAATGGGTATTCAAAACATTCATGGCCAACCCAAAGACAAAGCTCCGGCTTTGCATCTGGAAGATCTAATAACCATGATAAATTTTCTTACGGGTCGCGGCAGTCTGATAGACTTACGCAACAGTGCGTTGTTACAAATTGGTTTTTTTGGCGCGTTTCGGCGCAGCGAGTTACTAGCTATTAAGTACGAACATTTGTATTTTAAACGCGAGGGTTTAGAAATTTTAATTCCAAGATCAAAAACTGATCAATCTGGAGAAGGGCAGAGATGTGCGATACCGTTTAATAGGAATAGTAAAAATAATAAAAACAGTTCAGCACTGTGTGCAGTGAGCGCATTAAAAACCTGGTGTGAAACGGCGCAAATCGAAAATGGCTACGTGTTTAGAAAATTGAATAGGCAAAGCGTAGTCATGCCAACTGGCATTTCAGCTGGACACTTAAATACTGTTTTGAAAGCTCTTGCACAACAATCTGGGTTAGATCAATCTAATAGATATAGCAGTCATAGCTTACGCCGTGGCTTTGCTACTACCGCCAGCCAGAACGGAGCATCTTTAAGCTCTATCATGCGTCAGGGGCGTTGGCGCAGCTCTGACACTGCTCTAAGCTATGTGGAGGAGGGGAAGGATTTTATCGATAACGCAGCAAATGTGATTTTTTAATTATGTAGTTTATGAAAAATATTGTATCTTTAGTATATAGTATATGCGTTGTTAAACTAGGATTGAAAAATGCCAATAAACTTTGATTTTGCAGAAACCGAAAGTAGTCTTAACCCTACAGCAAAGACTTTTGTGCCTCGTAGCGAATCGTTAAAAAAATCTCTTAACCCAAAAGTAAAAGAATACGTTCCTAATGTTTTATCAATTGCTTCAAAAATATGTAAGGGCGCCAAACCAGCAGATCTTGGCCATTTTTCGCCTACTTTAATTTTTTACCAACGATAATATAGATTATAGTTGCATAAAATTTAAATGTAATCTAATATTTTAAATATAAATATTACG